ATCGTAGTATACAAGTACCATTAATGTAGAATTTTGACCATGAAAATTAAATTGGGTCTTCTACATGTTTTAATTTGGGGTTTTATTGAGTTTATATGTCGTCTTATTGTTTGAGTGCAAGCTTGATGAGTTCAAGGCTATTGAGGAAGATTCGATCTACGTAAACTTGAGCTCAAATTCGAGTATGTAACTTCTGATAATTTATATGTTTTTTGATTTTTTTGTTAATAATGTACATTATATAGTTTATGTTCTTTGGTTTTCTTTCTCCATCACAAAATACTAACTTCTCTCATTTTAATAGATAATGTTTAAAAAAAAAAATTTCGGGGGCAGAACCCCCGTGAGCCACCACCCCTTCAACTTTCAGACCCCCCTACTTTGATGGGCTAGCTCCACCCCCTGAGTACACGTGCCCTTTTCCATCCTCTAGGAGATAGCAAATAACATACATTCTTGATAGATGACCCTAACCTCTATAGAGTTAGCAACTAGCAAAGTTTTAGGGGCAAGTTCCCCAGACTTTCCCTCGACTTATCATACGACGTCCCCGAGGTTCAACCTCCATAACATCCTAATTCTACTCTAACTCCACATTTCTATCGAAACTGTAATATACCATTGTACCAAGACTCCTAGGTTTACGAGAACTCATAGTTCATTGGATCACGCACTATTCACGATCCACCAAGGATTACACCACAAACTATTATAAATTCATACAACTTGTTCATGATCAAGGTAGACCTTATACTTTAAGCTTTCACATACAATTAATTGTGGTTCTCTCTGTACCATTGCTCACTTATGCATCGAAGGGGCTACGAGGTGAATACCCCACACCTTTGGCTCAGATTATAAGAAGCTATGTTCGTGATCTTAGCTTAAGCTTGGATACACTTAGGATTTTTGACATCAATACCCATTTCCAATCTTGTTTCCCCATATACTTATTTATTTTAACATAATGTAATAAAGGAAAAAAAAAAAAAATTCTCTGAGTGGGTTCTGAGCAAAGGCCACGTTCCTTGTTCCCACGTCACATTCAGACATGACCTTCTGTCATCCCTATGATTCATATTATTAAAAAAATTAAACCCGATAATTAAATTTTTTTACACAATTAAATGATTCTCTAGAAAAAATATGGCCACTACTTCTACATGTAAATATTTGATCCTGCTTATAGAGGCTCAAATCATTACGTTCTAATAAGAAATATTTCTATTTGTCTAACTCCATAATAATATACTTGTCTATGATTCAGTGAAGTGGCATTAAAACTGGGACTTTCTATTTTGGGTAAACAATCGATATATTGGTAGAGATCAAGTTTGTAACTTCCATGGTGATTGCTGAATGACTTGTTATCAATAAAATACATCTCGAAATTATCACTGTCAGTTGGCATCAATAGACTGCAAACGTGAGTTTCTCCTTGTTTCACTCGAAATCTGGCCATTGTATGGGGGAAATATCGTCTTGTTTAAGGCTACATCATGGGCGGTGACAGTCGCAGCAGGTTTACCATGCATGTGGCTTTGCTGCATCACTTGGCCTTTGAAGCAATACAAAATTAATCTCAAGGGCCAACTCTTCAGGAACTGAAACTCTTGCATCAAATGGCAGAACTTTTCTAATTTAGGAGTTAAAAAATTTAAGGGCCCGCCAACTAATTGATCTTATCTTTTCTATTTCTTTTGTAGGATCAGAACATGTTTGGCTTTGGTTCTCTAAAAAAAAAGAAGAGACGTGTGTGATTTCTTTCGTCAAAACTAGCTAAAAAAACTGCCCTTTCTTGGCAGTATTTAAGACCGCTTTCATACTGCTCATATTCGTACTGTCAACAGAATCAAGATCTTAGCTATTTTGGAGTGTTTGATTGACTTTATTTTCCATGAAAAATATCATTTTTTTATACAAGTTCTTACTTTTGAATTGTTTGATTGACATTTTTTTATGAAAAATGTTTTTCAAAAGTTGATCACATGATCATATTTTCATCAAAAATAAGAAAAACATTTTTAAAATAACAATAGATATAAAAATGTGACAAATTAACCTTTTTTTTTTTTTCATTTCAAAGCTCAAAAACAAAATATTATACTAACATAAACATTAAGGACGTTATAGGCTAAATAATGGAAGATTAAATATGAAAATTAGATCAAAAAAAAGTAAAGAACACAAGTGCTATAGTGAACAAATGTTGATGACTTGAACTGTAATTAAAATTTAGTGCAATATATAAAAATATGGTATAAATATAAATATCCTTGAACTCTTCCAATTCCCTTTTTGTTAAAACTGTATAAATCAGATTAAAATAATAAGATATTATCTTTAAAAAAAAAATTAGCAAAGTGAAAAAATTAAAAATTAAAAAAGCTTCAATTTTTGTATAGAGTGAAAAAAAAAAAAAATCAGAAAGTTGTTAGCTATTAATGGCACGTTCAACTATACGCAATGGTTGGTGGTGAGAGAGTAACTAACGCCAATTAAATTAAATTTAAATGGATAAAAAAACAATTAATGTGATATGGAGTGACAAGTCAGTATTTAATAATTTTAATTAGAAGGACAATTATGGAGGCTAAATTCTCTAAATTAATGCGATTGAATCTATGTACGTGACAGATCATCTACCATTCTACGAATAAACCACAAAATTAAAGCACTGTATTTCGATTAAAAAAAGGTTGAATGCATCCATTGGTGCCTCAAACAAAACAAAATGCCCACGTGATCGTTGAAACTTGCAAAAATGCTCTCATCACCAAGCACGCCGGTTTTCTAAATTAATATAGGGAGTAGGGACCTCTATACATAGCAAAACTGCAAAGCAAATGAAACAAAGAAAAATGAAGAGGCAAAGGGAAAACACCCAGAGAGGAACCAAGATGGCACCACCCACAAAGCCGACAAAGAAGGGTTCAAGAATGGCGGTGGCGATGCCGAAAGAGGCGCTTGTGAAGGTAGTGGAAGACCAGAAGGAGCTGGAAGCCAAGGAAAGTGATATGATGATGTCCGAGGAGATGATGGAATGGGATGAATGGGGAAGTTTGTGGAGTGAAGTAGATGAGCAAATGTCATGGGCTACATGTTGGTGTCCGTTTTGGGATATGGAGTTAATTGGAGATGCTTATAATGAATTGTATAGCGATGTTTTATGGGATGATGATATTTGGGACTTGAAGGGAAATGATTCTACGGTGAATGATGTTACTCATCGTTAGTACAGATCAAACTATCAGTTTAGGTAACAGTGAACCTTTTAATTCCGTCTCTCTAAACTAGTGTTAATCTATAGTAACGATGAATTGCATTGTTACTTTAACATTTGAAATCTATGAATAACAAATAGGGTGCTATAAAAAACTTAATTTGAATTTATTGATTATGGAAGTCTTTTATTCTTTCATGAACCCCAACTGATCTCTTAATGAAAGTTTGAATACAACTGTCAATTTCACTTTGCTTTTGTATGCAGCTGGAAAGCACAATTCCACTTGTATATCAAAAAATGTATATAAGGGAGTACACCCCTCTCACATAGGGGGTGAGACCCACTGTATAAAATATTTTTTTGTTTAAGCGGATCTCACCCCCATGTGGGGAGGGGGAGTGTACACCATTATGTACACTAAGATGTACATATAGCAAAGCTCAACTTGAAATAAGATGCATCACAACACTTAGGATATACTTAGGATATTTCATCTCGATTCTCGAATAAGAAAACTAGATGGTTAATATACAAATCTTACTATCTCAAAAAATGTCAAGATCAAGTTAAAAACTAAGTGATCAATGTAGAATCCCCATCCATAGAAACGTGTAGAATGCTTAGCTACCTGTTAAATTTAAGTTGCCTAACATCTAGAAGTTCAATGGAGAAGACTCTGTTGACCATCTCGACACTTAGTACTCGTGGATGGAGTTAAAAGAAGCCTCTTATACAACAACATATCGAGTTATTTCATTATTTTAGTAGGAGTTACCAAAATTAAATTAGAAGATAAAGATTGTGGGCAATAACACGCAATTAATTATTTAATTAAAATTCTCCTTTTACAGTTTTACTCCATAGACGAAAAGGAAAAAAAAATGTATGAAAGTAAGAAATCCAGAAAAAGAAAATGCAGTAGTCTTGACGAGACTTTTGAAAAATGAAAGTAAAAATTGCTCTACAAGGGCCTCTAGTAGTAGAAATTGCTTTACGTACAAAGTCACATTTTCAGCCAACCTCACATTGACGCGTGTAAGACACAATACAGATGCAGTGAGCGTAGCTCAATTCCCATTCGTTTGACCTGTGCGTGAATCAGTAACTCAGGTGGGCCTCAGATTCCGACAACTTTCACTGGCTCGATGCTTTTGATTTGATTTATTTTCTTTTCCCACTTTTTGCAAACAAAAAAACAGCACCACCGCAAAGAAAAAGTTCCACACATTTCACTCTTCTACTCTCTCTGTTCACACGCACTCTCTGGAAGAGTAAAGTGAAGTAGAGATGGGGGAAGGAAAAGGGTCGACTCTAGTTCATTTACTTGTCATAGTTTTGAGTTTAACGGCATTTGGCTTTGCTATTGCTGCTGAGCGCCGCCGAAGCACTGTAATCCCCTCTCTCTCTCTCTCTCTGTATGTGTGCGTGTGAGTGCGGTTGCATATACGTTTGAGCAAGGATTGAAATTTTGCTGTTGCATTTTTGATTTTGCTATCTTGTAACTTTTATTAAGAAATTTGATTTGAAAATTTCTGGCAAAGTTTAAGTGATGTGACATTGGTGTCATCTAGAAATTTTAAACAAGAGTGTAATCCATAGGGTAGAAATAACATAATTCAAACTAGAAAGCATGTTTTATGGACTTCAAATTTTGATTGTAACAGCTTTTTGTTTTGGATCTCTCTTTTTGGTTTCATATAAAGGACTTGTTCGATTTCTGAAGGAAGGTTTTGTTGCTTTGATGTACATTTATTTCTTGCAATTTTTTGAAAGAGTTCGTTTTTGTTTTTAAAAATTTTCAACTATAATTAATACCGAGGAATAGATATTTGAACTATTTTGCACATCAACCTCCAGGCTTTTAGAGATTGTTTGTTTCTTGCTAAAAAAATTAGAATGGGGAAAAATGCAGGAGTTCAAGTTGCACAAAATGGGACCTTTGAATCTTCCAGTGCTTGTAGATTTCAAAATCTACTGTTGATGATGTTGATTACCAATCATAATATGTAGATTTCAAAAAATAGAATGGCAAAAAATGCAGAGTTAAAGTTGCATAAAATGGGAACTTTGAATCTTCTAGTGCTGAGTGAATTGCCCAAATAGTTACTGAACTTTACGCCATGCTTCCAAAGGTCTACTGAACTTTAAAAATCACCAAAGTCATCATTGAACTTTGTAAAAGATTTCCACGAGATCACTGAACTTTAAAAATCACCTCATTCATTATTAAACTTTGCAAAAAGTTTTTACGGGATCATGAAAATTTGCAAAATGTTTCGTAGGAGATCACTGAATTAGTGACTCCTGGGAAACCTTTTACAAAGTTCAGTGATGAATGAGGTGATTTTTAAAGTTCAGTGACGTCGTGAAAGTCTTTTGCAAAGATCAGTGATAACTTGGATGATTTTGAAAGTTCAGTGACCTATTGGAAGCATGTCGTAAAGTTCAGTGACTATTTGGGCAATTCACTCTCTAGTGCTTGTAGATATCAAAATCTATTGTTGATGATGTTGATTACCAATCAAAATATTCTCAACGCTGATGTGGTCCAAACTAAATACTCTTATGATCAAAAAATTCTGTCGCGTTGGAGCGATGTTAAATAATGTGAGTATATTTCGACAGAGCACGTGCTGGAAGTATTTGTATATCTTTACAAGTGGGGTAGATACGTATGTACCACTACTTATAGGACCGTAGGATGACTTATATGAGGAGAATTTGTTCCTCTTTCGAACAAGTGTGATCCCTGCATAGAGTCATAATTTGTCTATTATGGTTATCATGGTTTCATCTAATTGTTAGGTGGGTTTGACCAGCCAAATATCTTATCATGATGATGAACTACTGAACTCCAATTTAGTAGTACCCTTGTGCAAATGCCTAACTAGGATAGGGATCTCTCCGACATTGGTTCCAACACTGCCCTCTTATGGTTAGGCAAGGATTTATTAGGTCGAGGTCTAGTAAAATAGTGCTTGTACAGTATTCAATTGATCAATGAGTAGCAAGCGACACAAGTTCTGATTTCATGTGATTCAGACTTTTCCAGGAGAGAGAATTTTCCACAAAAGTTAAGTCACTTTTTCATCCACTCGCATCCAGTTGTCCATTATTACTCTTGCCATCTCTTCTGCAGTTGCTCAAGTAAAACTTCCTCTAGGTTAGAACATCTTGTGTTGGTGTCTAGTGCAGAGGCAGTTATCAAAGGTGTCTCCATCACTGTCGTTTGAATCAGTTACCTACAATTTGAAGCATTTTGTAAATCTACATCTTAGATCTTTCACTCGTAAAAGCTAGATTCTTATTCAGTACTACTTAAGCAACATGGACTTTCAGATCCTGTTCGCCCACAACTTACAATTGTTGCAACCACCGTCACGGCTTGTACTTGGCCTGATAGTTGGAAGACCTGAAGAAGTGCAAGGACTATTGTAGGTGTCTCCTTTGTGTGTCATCAATGCTCCCTTTGGAAATAGGCTTTATGTTGTATAACTACCCTGCTTGTGGCCTGCTTTTTTTTTCTCTTATCATTTTGATTCTTTAGTCTTTCTATAAGAAAGTTGGCCAATGCATGAGCCATTTCATTAGTTGTTTGGACGTGTTAAAGTTTGTGCAAGACTAATTTTAGCAGATAAAAGGTCTTCAACATGATTATAAGAATTTATAATACATAAGCAGACAAGTGATAGCTTTTCCATCAGTTCATGTGTAGATGAGTTGGGATCTTTACACAAAGAAGTCAGGCTTTCTTCTGGGTAGAAGCCCAGTCCTTTTCAACAATCAAAATTTTGGGTTTTTTTTTTCGACTTCCATGAGTGCATTTTAACGAAGTATGCTTTATTTTGATTGCTTCCATCTTCTCGTACAAGAGCTAAATAATTGAGGCTTCAGAGGTAGGCATAAACAAGATTAGAGGTTTCCCTCTGCTTGGCTTAAAGAGAAGTAATGTTGAAGTGAACTGAGGTACTCTTTCATTCCCTGACGATGTCCAAATGCTCTAGACCTCTGAATATAAACTAGTCATGTACCAAGCAACGATCAATCAACGTTTCTTTCACATAAGTCGACGCACTCAACACCACTTTCTAGTCAGATGACTACTTTGTATTATTTGTTATTCTTGAGAAGCGTGCGTTTTCTAATCAGTTGAAATTCATTGCATTCTAAGCTGTTGGGAAACCACTTAGATTAAACATAATTTAAGATTAGACTACAAATAAAGCAGACAAGAGCCAATTTTGTTTTTGAGTATTGTTACAATTACCAAGAAAATTCTACAAGTTCTCGTCAAGATTGATATGGTGAATATATACAGAAATCTGCACCTTCCACGAGGAAAAGTCTATTCTATTTCAACATACTTGGTATAGGCTTTGGCAAATATAAAATTTTAGATTAGGTTTACTCAGATCAAGCTGTTTGGGGCTGTATTATGGGGAACTAGCTTTTCCTAACTCTCTTGGGATAAAAAGATGAGTGGCACAGGATGATCTTGCCCTTTGATAAAACTATATGTCCTAATCTCCGTATGTATCTCTCGATGAATAGAAGGAGAGAATGGGATCTTTTCCTTTTGTTTGCTTCCTTAATGTGACCTGGATCAACAATCATTAATTTGTCCAGTGGATATATGTTTCATCATTACTTCTTTTTGCTAAACCCAACCATTTTCCATGATACCTACAATCCTTAGCATAGATACATACACCCATATTGTCACAGTATATCGTCACTAGCTACACAGCATTAGTGACTATATCCAGCTGTACAAGGAACCTCTTAAATCGAAACCGTGATGCTTCTTGTATATCATTGCTGAGAAAGGAAATTACTCAGCTTCCATCTTCTTTAATGCTACATGGATATTCTTCTTGCTACTCGACATAATAATATGAGGGTTAAGCAGGAAGGACTACCTTTTTCTCCATTTTTTGGCTGGAGGGAGTGGCTTGGACAGGATCCAACTGAGTCCGCTGTGCTTCGAAATTGTTCCATTTCATAATTCTC